TCAATAATTTAGAGAAACTGAGGCATTCTGCAATTAAAAATGTAAGTCTAAAGGAAGACAGGAGACAATAATAAGAATCAATAGTCACAGTGCAAAAACCTAAGGGATCCTCCTCCTTGTTGTTGAAGAATTAAAAGAAATAAAAAGGGCAAAAATACAGGACAAGAAAAGACGTAATTACCATCACCACAAGAAAACGTTGGTAAATAAAGAACAATTCTCTTTCATTGTAAAAATTCAGTGCTACACAGTTTTAAATCATTAAATATGAAACTACTTAAATCCAAATAAAAATCCAACTCAAGTTCAACCTAGCTCAAATGCCAACTGGCCAAAGTGCATTAAAGGAAAGAGCTTAAATATTCCTTCTAACAACCAAGTCACTAGCTTTGGTTTGCTTCTTTTATACCCAAGGAAACCAAAACCTTCTCTTTTAGATCACCAGGTCTTTCTTAAATGCCATAATTTATATTACGCCATTTGACAAGGTATCTATCACAACCTTCTGACCCCAGATAGTAGTTAATTAATCTCCAGAACAACAGGAAATAAGCCTTCCCAGAAATATCCTGTGTGATGACTTGTTTGACGCTTGGTTTCTCCCACTGGACCTGTGCTATCTAAATATGGCAGCCACTGGCCAATGCAGATACTGGACAGTACTGCATTACAGAAGTTCCATGAAGGCAGGAAATTTCTGATCTTTTCACCAGTGTACATCTCCCATAGAAACTATCAAACAGGAGGCATTCGATAACATGTGAAATAAATATTCAACAGCTAATGCAGCAAATGGAGAGGACTGAAGAGAACTCAGTCTTAGAATAGTGTATATAAATGGAGGGGGTTCCTTGGGACTGTAGACTCCCAGAGATTTAGGGTCAGATTTAGAAGAGCTAAAAGAAAACAAATGAAATTCCCAAAAGAAGTAGCAAAGAATTTAACATTCCCAAAAAGTGGACCTTGCTACCCAAAGTGTGGTCGACCCATGGGCCAACAGCACCTAGGAGCTTGTTAGAAATGAAGAATCTCAGTCCCTAACCCAGTCCAACTAATTTAGAATCTGCATTTTAAGAAGCAATTCTAATGTAAAGTATGAGAAGCACCAGTCTATTTCTCTATCTTTCCAGATTGAGCAAGTATTCTTCACTCAGCAAGTTTGGAAAAAAACACTGCACACAACTGCATGTAAATCGACAATAACCTTCATAAAAATTTCAATTAAAAGAACAATTGTAACAAACTTTGAAATCACACAGTAAGCTTTTCTGTATCCCTTCCCTATCACCTCTACCTCTGTTACATCCCCATAAGAAAATATCAGACACACACAGCATCTGTGGGCTCCACATACAAACACACACACTCATAACAAAACATTACGGACACAGAGTATGAACAAGGGCACTTAACAAACACAAGGGACCCCAGAAGAATATATCTACTTTCACTAAGAATTTTAAGCTCTATTTCAGTCATAATTTTTAAGTGGCAGGATTGAAAGCTACATTGCTATAACAAAATAAAAGTTCTGGTTATGAGAAAATTATCCTGATTATTCAATAAATCTACTTGAAACAAAATTACTTTACATGGAGTCTGGGTCTCACATTTTTCAGGAATGTGTTGATACTCTATTTTTGTTCTTAATAAATTACAACTATTCAAACTAAAAACCAGTCCACCAAATGTAGTATCAATATAACCTAGACATAAAATTCAAGTTGTTTCTGATACTTTATCTGGAAGAAGGAAATTTTTTTTACCCTTTACCCTTGGTCTTGGGAAACTAAGCTGATTAGAAATGTAAGAACTTTCTAGGTATTTAGGATTATGATTACTTACATTTGTCCCTTAAAAATTTTAGGTACTTCTCTAATCTTCTACCATGACCTTTTTTATACCTTCATATATAATAAAAAATGATTATTTTAAAAGATTTTTCTTTAAAAAATAACAGGGATTGAAAAATGCTCTCAAAGTCTTCTTGAACTTTACTATAAAAAATACAATTAGACTGAAACTTACTAATTTCCCTCATATTAAGCTGCATTTGAACAGGTTAAAAAGCACAGTGGAAAAGGGCACAAAATAAAATCTCAAGGAAAAAAGCCGAATTCTGAGTTAGGTTTATTGGCCTGGTCTATTGGGGAGTTTTCCATTCCTGCGCTAGAACATACAACGGGTTGTATCTATTATCACTTTTGGTGACTGCAGAAGGATTTTTCCCCAGCTAAAGCTTTCTGGCTCCCCTGAGTTTTGCAGACACTTGAGTATAGCAGACACACCCTAAGGCAACCCCCAATAATCAGATACATCCATATACTAGCCTCTTCCCTTGAGTTTAGACAGACTCTGAGACTTCCTTCTAGTCTACAAAATCTGGCAAAGGGGACAGGCTGTCACTCCCATGATTACACGGTATCATTAAAAACCCCAGCTTAGTCAGCTCCAGTGAGATTCTCCTGCTGGCTTTGGAGAAATAAGCTGCCAGCTTCGGAAAGATCTATGAGAGGGCCACATGGGATGATCTAACAATCGAGACAGGTGCCTGCTAACAGCCAGGAAAAAAAAAACACGGAGATCTCAGTCTACTACCACAAGGAACTGAATTACTGTCAAAAACCACACGGCGTAGAAGGGAAGCCCAAGCTCCACAAAGCACAGCTCTTCCGACAGCCTGACTGCAGCCCATGAGATCCTGAGCAGAGAACCAACCCAGTGAAATCAGACCCAAATTCCTGACTCAAGAAAACTGTGAGGTTAAAGAAATAAAACATCTGTTGTTCTAAGCTGTTAAACTTGTGATACAATAATTTGCTACTCAGAAATAGAAAACTTCGGTATTGGTTACTTGAGTACCGGCAGACACTTACTTAACTAAGAACTGATTATTAGGATGAAGGCTAATTCCTGGAATTGTACTGTCTTATCTTTCCAATATGGAAATACATTATCAAACTTTAACAATCCCTATAATCTCACATGGCCATTCACACTTTGGTTTGCGGGATTCTAATGCATTTTTTGTGGATTTCCAAGTTTTCTACCATGTTCTTACTACCTTCTTTCCCTGAGTTGCACTTTTACCCTTTAAATGTAGATGCCACAGGTTGAACCCCTATTCTGGCAAGCCACTCAGATGCCAAACAGTTGGTACTGTCTACATTCCAATAACCTGAGAAAGGGCAGCGAGTGGAGCAGAGCTAATCTCCAAGTTCTAGCTAAGAGAAAAGGACAGAATAAAGACAGCAAGAATAGGCTTTTCACTGTTAATTTCTCCACCAGCCCTCTCCAAAACTGTCAGATTGTTAAAATGAACCAATAATGGACAATGGTCAAGAAAGGTACTATTTTCCACTTACGAAAAAACAAAGGCAAATTTACAGAAATTAGTTCAAAAGTAGACATACTGCAACCAAGTAGAAATTTGGTATTATTCAGCACAAAATGTGCTAAGAAGAAGTGAACAAAATCTGTCATCAATGCCAGTCATTTATCAAAGGATACCCCACACCAGATCTGCCATGCTCACGATCCCTCTTAGGCCCCCAAGCCACTTTCAAATCATTACTTTGATTTCCCAGATATTTCAAACTCAGGAAAGAGGAGGTCCAGAGGGCTGACGCAGGTATTCCAATCACTGGAAAAGACTGTGTCTCACGGTAAATTAAATTAGCAGCCTAATTTACAGTGCTTACAACGTGACTACCAACTAGTCTCTGTAAGGAGCAACTCCCAACAGCAGACTCATTCCCAGACTGTCACTGAGGTAAGCAAAAGGCCACAAGAGACCCCGTCCACAGCCCTACTAACACAGTAACTCTGAAACAGCTTTAAAAACTGCAACAAGGCATCTCCAAATCCTGTGTGAACACAGAGAAAATGAGCATATAAAAATAACTTCTCTTCTTAAAATGTCTGTAAAAACAGTACAGTCTCCATCATTGAATGAATCACTGTATTCACTGAAACTAAGACACTGTAAAATGCAACATTACTTTATAGAAGTATATGGGGAAAAACTCAATTTTGTCACATTAAATGATCACTGATTTTAACACATACTTTGATTTCAGAGATGTTAAAAAATGTGAAAAAAAAGGTGCACCTCAGAATCAATGACATACAATACTAAAAATGTATTCCTCAGAATTATTCAAATTAAGTATTAAATACTGAGTCTCTTAAATTGACGTTAGTCATAGTCAGTGGCACATTCTTAAAGCTATTCATTTTTCTTCACTTCTCATTTGAAATGACGAATGGAGTGGCACTTATATTCATCTCTGACAGACATCTTGCACAAACTGTAATAATGAGGGATTCCCAGTTGAAAGTCATCTAACTTTCATTAGAGACCCAGACCAGGAGATGAGATAAACAAGGCCTACCTAAGTCAGATGACTGAGTGCAGGGCCAGACAAGGAAGCAGAGTGGAGGTTTGAAGCCAGGTCTCTAGGACCTGTTCTGTGCTCTCTTCATAAAAATCTGAAAACATCAGTAATTACCATTTTTTGATCCAACACTACAGAGTAAAACAATTAGTAGAAAACTCTGTCCATTTTCAAAGATGTCTTTTTATGAAACGATTCTCAACTTCCCCGGCAGAATACTGATGACGGATATGTGTTTGGCTAACCGATTCACGTTACTAAACAGTTTTGCTTTATCCGAATGGCACACCCAACTTCTCAAAAAACAAATGCCCTCTCTGCATGCTCTGAAGAGGGGTGAAGGCCATAAAATATTATCTAATCAGCCACATGCCACCAAACACTAGCCTCACAACAGGATCCTGCTGTATGAGATCACTGGTTCTCTATGGAAGGCTCTGGGGATTATAGAACATCTCAAAACTTTTTAGCATTTGCTATACTCAGACCTAGAAATTTTGATCCTCAAAGCTTGTTGCAAATATGTTATGCTTTGCTCTGACTGGCCTCCTTAGAACTGGTGATTATTTGAGGAGTCAGTAAATAATCCATCCTCTCAAAGCATTAGTCCCTTTTGTCCTGGTTTCTTGCAAGGTAATTCACAGAGGAGTTGCCAGTATTAACTGGAGAGGATTCAAACATTAACACATTTGAGTAGGAATGGTTGGGGACTTCAGCTGTAGGCTCCATCAAAATATCTCTAGATGTCTCTATTACAGAATTCCTCATTGTATCATTCATTTCAATCACTTCAAAGTCCATTTCATTCCATTTTTCTGCATCATCTTCTTCATTCTCTTCCTCATAGTCATTGAGCCCAGAGCTAGAAAGCAGAGCTTTCTGGTCCTCACTTTTCCTGTGTTCTCTTCGCTGACGATCAAGCGGCAAGGTGGCTAATTTGTACAGCACAGGAAATAGAATAGCAGTGGCTATTGATGACCCCAAAGAGGTGTACAAAACTACAGGCAAATCAGGGTATTTGCCTTGAAGAATTCCAGTTACTGCAGGAATAGCCATTTCTCCCAGGGCGGCACCGACTACAAAAAATGCTGCAGCTTTCCCATGGATGGTCGTGTACTGCTCAATCCAAGATACTCCACTGGGGAATGTGGTTGCCATTGAGGCCCCATACACTGAAGTTGCTATCCACAGACAAACTGGGCTCTTGTTGAAAAGCACCAGAAATAAAGATGAAGTCAGGCTGCCAATGTTGCTCAACACAATCATGGTTCCAGGTTGTAAACATGTAGCAAAAAAGATCGCCATGCCCCTGCAGGCTGCAAAGGTCCCCCAGAAGATGGAGTTCAACCCGGCCGCTTCGCTTTCCTTCATGCCGGCATGGGTGGTTGCAAATGAGAAAACGTAAGAGCCGTATGTTACCTCAGCTCCCACATAAAAGAAAAAGAACAGGAAAAGGAGGCAGAGAAGGGCGTTGTGATATTCGGCTCTTCGAAACCTCTGAGCAGATGCTCTTGCTTTTTCCTGCTTTGAGCTTTTCTTTAAAAACAGAGCGAAGAAAAAGACAGCAACTACGAAAATATAAGCACCGATGACGGCGTAAGCCCACAGTAAATTCATATCGTCAGGTATTCCAAATAGAGATTCTGAGTCAGCTTCATATGACTGGTTGAAGGCAGATTGGTTAAAGTCAGCCTCTGTGTGGTTTTCAGCAGACACCGTCGTGCCCAATGCCAATTTAGCCAGCAATGGAGCCAAAAAGGCACCTAGGGCAAAACTGAAGTGTAAGGCCTGCATGTGTGGGGCTCCTCTGTCCCCCCAAAGAGCCAAGATTAGGACGTTACCACCTATTAATGAGAGATGGAGAATGATTTCATTATAATAACTTGGCAAAAAAGAAAAAAGTTCATTACTATCAGAAAGAAATATTTTACATGGCACAAGAATTATAATATTCTAAGTTATAAACTGTGGCAACTAAGTCAATTCTATGATTAAGGAGCTCTAACTCACCAACACTACCAGAAAACTCAGCACTGGAACCTCGCACACCCACAAACGGAATTCTACAATCTAGTAAAGCACTAACACCTAGAGCCAAGTACATTAGCCCAAGGCTTTTTACAATACAGTTCCAATACCAGGCCTGAGTACTTTGGCCACCTAATGCGAAGAGCCGACTCATCAGAAGAGACTCTGATGCTGGGAAAGACTGAAGGCAAAAAGGAGAAAAGTGCGGCAGAGGACGAGGTGGTCAGATAGCATCACCAACTCAACGGACATGAATTTGACAAACTCCAGGAGATACTGGAGGTCAGAGGAGCCTGGTGTGCTGCAATCCACAGGGTCACAAAGAGGCGGACACAAGTCAGAAACTGAACAACAATAACACCGGGCATAGGAGGGGTGGGGGTAGGGAAGGATATTTGTATTTACTTACTCCTAAATATTTTTAATATATATCACATAGTAATACATATTATTATATGTTGTTATAATATATATTATGTATATTAATATATATACGGTATGTATTAATATATATAAGTATATATTACATAGTAATATGCTATCATCATATAGTAATATACTATCATCAGATAGTAGCCAAATGACCAAATTTTTCTATACTGGAAATCACTAGCCACTTAAGAAAAATTATTTATGTATACAGCAGATGCAAAACATATATTCAGAAACCTGAACATGACAGGATTCTGCCCATTACAAGAAACAAGTAACAAGGATGCCTTCTAACATCTGCAGTTATACTGTCTATGTATCTACAGGGTGAAGACGAGAAGCATCAAGTATTTTTTTTCTTTCTTTTTAATATATTTGCACATAAACATACAATGCTATCCTGTAATTTCACAACCAAATTAAGCCCAAAGTAAAAAATATTTCTCCAACCTATCAAATACCATGGAAGAGGCGGAGAAAGTTGGCTTTAGGGGTGAACGAATGTTACAAACGTTATTTAGTACATTTTAAAAGATAGACATGAGGGCAGAAACTTTTGAGAGAAAAGGAAAAGGGAAATAATACACAACACAGGTTTCTCTTAGTTCGAAAGGCAGAGTGCATTTTAAATTGGAGAGCTGCTTGTATGTTTCCTCAGCCATGTAATGGTTCCAAACTTGGTCTCATCTATTAATTCATCAACTCCTGCCACATTACAATGACAAAGACCTATCGGGACTGAAAGCCTGCTATCTGCACTGTAATCACCCACACCGGGGACCCTCTCCTCTTTGGATACTAGAAATCAACAAACTCTCAAAGAACAAAACGCTCTGAATTCACTCTCTGGCTGGCTGCCCAAAAACAGGCACTAACTTGGCAAGAAGGGTGGTACCGACTGGGAGCCCCCATGAAAAACACAGTAGGTCAATGTCACTTTAGGGACACTGCAAGTGACAATCTAATATCATCTGCTCTTTTTCTAGTAGAAAGACGCTACTCCCAGAGATGATAATCAAGGGCTCACTGACCTGTATCCAGAATGCCAATGGAAACACCAAAGGTGGACATCATGACGATAAGTAACACTGCGGTCTTACAAAATGGAACAAGATAAAGACCAACTGTGGTAGCGAACATTGACACCCCTGAGAAGAAAAGTCAAAGACAGCTATGAAAAACACTATTTATGGCAAAGGGTCATGGATCAAGTCAATATCATAAAAACTCTCAAAATGCAAAATATGCAAAACAGGTCAAATTAAAATTGAGTAATAAGGAGCAGAGGAGAGGTTCTGCTTCTGTAAAGTTATTGCATTTAAAAGTTTTTATCATCTTTATGAACTATAAAGTATAAGCTATTCTAATATAAATACACTTCTAGTACTGCTAATAATCAAACCATACATTATACCAGAAGGCAAAATTTTATAGTGAAACAGCTCAAAAATTATTTATTTTTAACAACATAAAGAGATTTTTAGATAAAGGTAAAATATTAAATGCAATTACGATAGTAGTTCATAGTAGAAATGTATTAAACAGTGGCACTAGTGGTAAAGAATCTGCCTGCCAATGCAGGAGACACAAGAGAAATGGGTTCAATCTGTGGATCAGGAAGATCACCTGGAGTAGGAAATGGCACCCCACTCCAGTATTCTTGCCAAGAAAACTCCATGGAGAGAGGAGCCTGGCGGACTATAGTCCATGGTAGCACACAGAGTCAGACACAACTGATCAACTGAGCACACAGCACAAACAAATTTGTTTGAAGACTAGGGAAGGAAATGTAAGAAATACATTCTTTCAACCCACTATGGAAATCAGAGGGATTATTTACTCATTCATCAACAAGAGTAATTATCTCCTTACTTCCAAAGCAGTTTTGTCACAGTAATCCTGATTTTCTTTAAATATGTCAATTTATCCAAAAAAGAGTAAGTTAAAAGCTTTGCTATCTATTTTAAGAGTGAAGTGGAGAGGCCTGGATTGATCAATCACAAGGAGCAGCTGGGACAAAAATTGAGCATTCATCATTTCACCCACCATCCCCTCCCACCTTTGTTCTCAGCCCAGGGTCTAGTCTGGGTAGGTCTGAGGAGTTTATTCTGATCTATGGCCCAGAAGATCTGCCCTAAACACTGACAGAGCTCTTTAAACGTGATCCAGCAGTGGTATCGAGACCACAGTGAAGGTCAGGAGGGCTAAGGATCGTTAACACACTAGGACTAATCTAAATTTCCAGAGGCATCCAGCCCAGATTCCAAGCAACTGCCAAGATGAAAGCAGGCAGCAGAGAAATCTGGCTTCCAGTGAGGATGCCTAAACACTACTTTTAAGCTGTCAACCATTCTGCAAGCCAGTATGTTTCATATTTAAAAACAAGCTGTAAATTCCTTGAAAGCCTCAAAGAAGCTGAAATTGTCTTTTACTTACCCAAAAGGAGAAAATGATTCATGCTATCGAAAAGAACTCCACCAATCACAGAGCCACCCAGGTATCCAAAGGCACGGCCCACAAAAATCAGAGAAAGACTGCTGATGTTGCGGTTCACATTCGTTGCCAAGTCTTGAAACGTGGGTCCCAGTATAGCAACACTCATTCCCTAAAATTCAAACAGACAGAAGTTTTTATTTACAATCATTAAAATAATGCTTATGTATGTGGTAGCTTTTTTCAGTATTAAAAAGTGAGGAAGGGACTTCAATGGAAGGTAGGAGATTAAGTCCCATAGTTAAGATAAATTCATAATGAACCTACTAATAGCATTACTACAGCTAAAGACTATTTCTGGTGTGTCAAATCCTACGGTTTTTCTCATCTTGACAACTCTCAAATTACAATTTTAAAAAATTAATTCTTTTAGCTTTTTGCTGCAATTCTGTTTCCTTTCTGAACAATACCAGAAAAGACTACAGTATTTCTATTAACAGTAAAATGTAACATTTAAAACGTTTTTGAAAGTTTTTAGTAGTCTGAAACACATTGCATGCACAAATAACACAAAAATTGTGATGCTAAAAATTTAAGTTTTCAAGCCATCAAAATATTATCCCATTTTTGATGCTGTTAAAACAGCAGAATTTCTGGATGTACATGGGGTCCTTCTTTTAAATTACATGTATAAAACATGCAAGAGAGAAACAATTTGAACGTTTCTCAATCTACATTTTTCCTCAAAGAAAACCAAAGCCTCAGAGTAGTCTGTAAGGCTTTCTTAGACATTATTACATACACCTGTATGCAACGGATTTAAAAATAAAATTTTATTGAAAGACATGTAATTTTAGCAAAAATTAGGGGCTGCAACTGGCTTTCACAGGAAATTCGTTGGACACTTAAAAAGATGTTTCCAATCGGTCTCCATCTCAAGAATAAGTGGTTCTAATTGCATAACTCTGCCCTAAACGCTTGGATGTAGCCCCTCCCCAGACGGAGGCACAGACGAGAGCGAGCGCCTAATACAGGAGAGAAGGCAGCGCCCCAGCTGTAACCAAATTAGTCCCACCTGCAACGCATCGTTTAACAGGACGAGGCACGGCGTTTGCATTAACTTTTCTTCAAATACAAATACTCTAAGAATCAACTCTGCCTCACAGAAAGACACCAAAGTGGCCAGAAGTGACTGCTCAGAGAACTCACCCTCTCAACTCCCCAAGACCCCAATATTTAAGACAAGCGACTAAGGGAAGTGTTCTGGATTAAGGTAACCGCCAGACGGCCAAGACGTTTGGCAAAAGGCTAAACTAGCCTTGCAGTTGTTCGAGGAAAAACATTCAAGGATCAGAAAATTTGTTTTACATAAGATTGTAGTTAGACTACGAAACATTATTCCTGGCTCAACCACTTAACCGGCTGTGTGGTCCAAAAAAGTCACTCTCCCTGTCTGGGGCTATTTCCCCATTTGCAAAAATAAGGGGTCAATTCAGTCAAACGAGTAAGAGAACCCAATAGAGCAGCTTTGTGCAGTAATTTGGCGGTTGGGTGAGCGCAGGAGATGAGAGGTTACGCGGCTATAGACCTGGCGACCCCTCTTGCATTCCCCCGACCCCACAGAGAGGTAGACAGGTTTGCTGTAACTGGATAACATTAAATATTACGAAAATCTACTTTACGCTTGACAATATTTCTCGAAAATCGTAATTGTGCCCATTTTACAGATTGCAAAACTGAGGCTCGGGCAGATGGATGAGCCCAAAGTCACAGAGTCTGTAAGCGGCGGAGACAAGAGCTCTGGAGGCGCGTTCTCTGCAAGAACGTCTGCCCTCGTCTCGGTTTGGGAGGGTTTCAGCCCCGGCTCTCACCAGCCCCAGGAAGGCGGCACACAGGAGGACGGTGATGAACCAGCGCAGCATACTGCCTGCCCGGCCGCTCCGCCGGGAGCCCACCACTGCCTCCGGCTCATTCTCCGCCGGGGCCTCGGCCTGGAGAAGCCGCTGCCCGGCAGCCGGGGCCCCGGCCCCACAGGGTTCCAGTTCCAGCTCCATCGTGGCGGCTCCCGAGCAGCGGTCTCGCTACCGCTCGGCTTCTCAGCGGAGCCTCGGGAACTCGGCACCCTGCCCCGGCCTCGTGCCTCCAGGGCCTGCGGTACCGGCTGGCGCCACCTCCCCAGGGGCGGCCCTAGTCCGGGCGGAGGAGTCGAACTTTGGGACGCGCCGGCCGTCGCAGGCTGCGGCCGTGCGCCCGCCCCCACGCAGGGCGCCTGCGCGCATCACGTGGCGGAAATGTGGCCTCTCGCCAACCGCGGCCTCTCCCCAAACCGGAAGTTGATGTGGTTGCCCCGGAGACCGGACGTCTCTCTCAGGCCTCAGCATCACACTTAGCTGAGCCCACAGAGGCCGTGCCGGCGGGCGCCCCGCGGCGGAGCGAGCTGAAGCTGCAGCTTTGGGACGAGTCAGGAGGTAAGATGCCGCCGAGCCGTCACGAGGAATTGTTGGCCGAGAAACGCCAGGTATGGCTTCGCACCCGCTCCCCGGGTCTCCTTGTGGGGCGGGCGGGGCAAAGGGAACCTCAAGAACTCTCTCTTATACAAGTTTACAACAGTTCTGCCCTAGTTCCTTTGAGTTCTGTCGACTATTGATCTGTCGTTCACCTGTCACTCCACATTTGTTGCGCCACTATGTAAACTTTCATGTATGATCTTAAATGATCCCCTTAACAACACTCTAAATTCCATACTATCTTGGTTTTACAGATAGGAGGATGGAGTCATAGAAAGGAACAACTTGCCCAAGGTCAGTCAGCGAATTAGTGGCTGTTCATAAACAGTGTAACAGTAGCTCAAAAAAGAAATCTGGAGCCAAAGCTGCGGTTTCCAGCACACACTCGCCCCAATCTCCACAAATATTTCCATTGTTGTAAGGAAGTGGAACAGGGCATGGATTTGTAGAATCCCCGAATTAACAGTAATTTCCCAGGTGGTGCTAGTGGTAAAGAATCCACCTGCCAATGCAGGAGACGTAGAAGACGCAGGTTCCATCCCTGGGTTCAGTAGATCCCTTGGAGTAGGAATTGGCAACCCACTCCAGTATTCTTGCCTGGAAAGTTCCATGGACAGAGAAGTTCCTGGCCGGCTGCACCCCATGGGGTCGCAGGGAGTAGGAGACGACTGAGCATGAAGCACTGAACTGGATAATACTATACCAGTGGAAAAGGAAAAACCTTATATTCTGTATCCTACTTTAGCTTTTTGTCTCCTTTTGCTCCTTGACCAAACAGGCCAAATGTGTATTTCTCTTTGTCGTCTATCTGGAATATTCTTTTCCACCTAATTAATCCTTAGCTCATCCAGGTAAGCTCCCAGATTATACACACCTGCGTGTCATCATTTCCCTTGCAGCCCAGCCCCATCAATTTGGTCATTAAGTACTTTCCCCATGTACATCAGAAAGTACAGGTGCTATGACTTTAAGAGAACCTGTTTTAGATTTCAGAGTCAGGGAATATGTCTCTGTTTAATGGGGTTGAAACAAAAGGCGTATACATATATTAAAGAGAATAAAATATGATATGGGAGAGGTAGGTTAGGTCCAAATTGCTAAGGGCAAATCCAGATCGCCTCCATTTCTTTCTCTTCTCTTGAGATTCTGAATGACTTGTACATTAGACCTTTTGATATAGTCACAAAGGTCCTTGATGCTCATGTTCCTTTTTTTTTTCCTAGCCATTTTTTTCCACCTCTGCTCTTGAGTTTAGATAAGCACTGTTGATTTCTCTATCTTCAAGTATACTGCACCCATCCAGTGAATTTGTTTATTTCAGATATTGTACTTTTCAGTTCAAAATTTCCACCTGGTTCTTTTTCATAGTTTCTTTTTCCCTGCTAAAGATGCCTATCTTTACATTCATCTTTACCTCCTGGAGCATATAATAGCTGCTTTAGAGTCTTAGAAAATTCCAGCAACTGTGTTATCTCAGAGTTTGTGTCTGTTGCTTGTCATTTTCCCCTTGGAATTTGGTCACATTTTCCTAGTTTTTTTGTATGACAGGTAATTTTCTATTCTATCCTGGACATTGTGTCAGTTATACTCTGCAGACTCTGGGTCCTGTTAAAATCCTCTGAAGAATGTTTATTTAAGCAGGCGGTCAACCTGGTTATTAAGTTCAGGCTGCAAGTTTCCTATGGCCTTGTGTGGGTGAAGGTGCCAATGTCAGTTCAGTTGTCAAAGCCGGTTCTGTGCTGCTCTGGGCCAGTCCCGAACATGCAGCGCTCCCGGGTTCGTCTGAGACTTGAGCAGTGGTTTACCTCTCAGACCAGTCGTCTGAGCTGTTTCTGTGCTGCTTCGGGTCCCTCACATGCACAGGGGCAAACGCAAGGGGCTTAGATGCTTCATACGCAAGATTTTAGGGGTCACCTTTTCTAGCTCTCCCTTCTCCCCTCCCCACTCACTTTCCAGTCCACAGAGTCTCCATTTCTCAGTTCCTTGGACCAGAAAGATGGGGTTTCCATCAGAGTTTCAGTTACTCAAAACACAGCTACAAGAAAAAAGAGGCGGGAAAGCCAGGCAGTTCATTGCCTTGCAGGTTTCTTTTCTCTAAGTCTTGAGCCCCGCCCCCGCCCCTCTGTTGACTTTTAGCGGTCCTCGGGTGCTTTCTCCTTGTATTTCATCATGAGTGGAGATGGGCTGGAGTAGGCTTACGATGCCAGCGCTGCACCAGAACTCTCCCTCCCTGTCTTTGAAGAGTCAGCTGAGGTGTTACTTCCTCTAGGAAGCCTCTTCTGACGCTCCTCTTGGTCTCTGGTCTGTTTTAGTTTCCCTCTGACACATAAATAGGAAAATTCTGTGTGAAGTAGCCAGTGGCCTACTAGAATTATGCATAAATTCATAAATACAGAATTTTCCTATTTATGTGTCAACTTCCCTTTTATACTAGGAATGCCCAAAAGAAGGCGACTCTGTGTTATTTAGTCTTTAGCATAGTGCCTGGGACATAATGTGTCTTCAGTTAATGCTTGTTGAATGTAGTAGACTTTCTGAACAAGCTAACCAAAAATCTGAATTCCTGTGTAGCCATGCTACTCCTAAATGTTCTCAACATTCTAGCTTGTGTTACGGTTATTTCAACACTTATTTTTAGTTCCCTAGGAGATCGTAAACTCAGTGAAATGGAAACTATGGACCTTAGGTCTCTCTTCCCACTGTGGCATTAAACATTGTATTATATACTTTATAAATGTTATATAATTGAATTGAGGTTTTTTGTTGTTCAGTCACTAAGTTGTGTCTGACTCTTGGTGACCCCATGGACTGCATCACTCCAGGCTTTCCTGCATTGAGATTCAGTAAACTAATTTTAAAGTTAAATGTTTTAATTTCACCCTGATTAAACATCAAAATAATTTTTTTTCTCCAAGGGAGAGATCTGTTTTCTCATTCTACCCACTTCACTCCAGAAAGCAGCCAGATACTTTTCCCACTTGCCTCCAGAGGTCACTCACCACCTTTTTTTAAAAAGAGGTGATTAAAATAGGACATTGCTTCATGCGGGCTTCTCTTTAGACCATTACTGAGGATAATTTTTTTCTCATAAGACAATTCAAGAAAAATAAAAACACTGATGGGCCTTTCTTTATAAATATAGTTTTGATTCCCTTGGGAAAAAATGGATATTTTACAACATCTATGACAATTTATGAAGAAAATAAATTATCTGGGTCTTAGTGGCTAGTAGGATCCTACCTTGGCATATTTGTGAAATAGCAACAGGGAGGCAGATTTTTCATCTTTCAACTTCAAGTTTTACTTTGGACAAGAATGAGAAGTTGGATTATGTTTAGGGACTACATATGACTATTGCTGTTAAGTCACTTTAGCTATGTCCAACTCTGTGCGACCCCATGGACTGCAGCCCACCAGGCTCCCCCATCCCTGGGATTCTCCAGGCAAGAACACTGGACTTTTAGGACCTATTTAATCTTTATTCTCTGGAAGGACCATCCTTTTTACTTATCAGATAAGTTTCATCAGTTCTTAAAGTGCATCATGAAAAACTAGGTGTCATCATAACTATTTCTATCAGTATACTAAATGATCTTTCTTTAAAAAGCCCAGCCTGTTAAAACTGACTCAAAGATTTAATTTCAGTAAGATAACTTTCATGTTTGTGCTATGTATTTTAAAAAGTTTGAAATAGCATTGAAAGGACCTAACATTGGTGTCTGTTTGATGGAATTAATTTATTAAAAATCAGAATTTACTGATTCTTAAATTAATTTCTTTTTAAAAATACAAACTTAAAATTTTCTTTAGCTGGATGCATTGTGACAGTTAGGGCTGCAGGATTCTCTGAATCTACTGTCTTAATGGTCTCCTAGACTGTACTGATAAAATCTTTGCTGTATGTACTATTATTAGCCAAAATCAATATATCAGGAAAACAAAGCAACCAAAAGTGAGAGTGTGGCTACTGTGGACTCTGCAGAGAAAAATAGGCTAACATATGCACCACAACTGCTGAGCCCACAGTCTGGAGAGAGCCACAACTCCTAAGCGCCCGTGACACAACCACCGAAGCCCATGCTCCAGAGCAAGAGAAACTGGGGCAGCACAGCTGGAGTGTAGCCCCACTCACCACAATTAGAGAAAGCCCGCACACAGCAACACAGACCCAATACAACTAAATTTAAAACTTAGTGAAAGAAAAAAAAAACTTAATTGGCAGCAAAACCTGACCCAAGCTGATATGAGGCTGTTAATGATTTTTTATTTACTTGGTGAGAATGTGATATTAATGTTTTATTATGTATCCCATTGAGAGGATTATAAAATCGACAATATATTGCTATAGTACCTTCCCATAAAAAAAAAAAAAAAACTGGATTCTGAAACATGTGCAACCAAGGCTGCCAGAGAAGGGATTATAGACCTGTATATCCTTTTTAAAGGTGATTTTACTATTAAACATTTAGGAAAAATCACATACACACATGCACACATACCAATTAAGCTACTACTTCTTGGAGAGTATAAAACCTTGAAGCACTTTCCATATAATTCTCAGCTGAAAAGTAGTTATTACTGGTCCCAGTTTACAAAATAAGGAAACTAAAACCAGTTAAAATGCTTAACTATTTCATCCAACCACTAACACAGAATATCAAACAGTATTGTCATTTGTAAGGCTTTTTTAAATTTCAGGTTCTGTCTGTAGATGATTGCAGATTCGTATAGACTTGCTTTATTCCTCCTTTTAACAAATGTTTAAATGCACAGTACATTACTGTTAATGGCAGGTACCATAGGAGTTGTAGGAGTTCTCATGTATTTTGGAGATTGACCTTTTATCACATATATGGTTTGCAAATATTTTCTTC